GAAAACATATTCAGGGTCGCTATGGGTTAGAACCGACTCGATGGCATTTAACAACAACAACATAAGTTGTATGGAGTCCTAATGTGGTGCTGTAGGATAATCAGTGGGCCTCAAGGTCATTTGAACTGCAGGATCGGTGGTTCAACCTCACCAGCCACTCCTCGGGAACTGTATATGGGTAACTATGAGTTGGAACCGACTCGACAGCACTTAACAACAATGTAAGTTGTATGTATGAGTAAATGTGTCTGAGGAATTGTGAACTTTCTTCAGCTCTGGTAGGCATATGGATACATTGGTAGCTCTGTGTCTCATGCCCACTCAGGCCTGGGAAAGGATTGCTACCTTTTCTAGGCATTGGGTTGGTGGAAGGGAATTAGATTCCTTCTTGAGAGGAGTGAGTGTGGGTGGGGTGGGCATTTCTAGTGATCAGCCTCCCTAGTTTAGAAATAGGTAAGGCAGTTATAAATGCTTTAGGACTGGGATGGTAGTGTAGAGCATGTGTGTGTGTGGGGGGGTGATAAACTTACCACAGGACATGTGGGTCCAATCTTGCCTACCTGCCTCTGAGTTTTATGAGTAATGTTTTATTGGAACATACTTATACTCCTTCATTCACACATTATCTTTGGCTGCTTTTGCATTACAATAGCAGAGTTAAGATTATATAGAAACTGTAAGGTCAACAAAGCCAAAAATACTTACTATCTGTTCCTTTTTAGAAAGTTTGTCAACCCCTGGTTTAGAGAATGATATATATTTAAGGAAATCTTTGTTTAAAAGTACTAAGTCTTATTTCTATAGCTAGTCTAACATGTGTTGTTGTTGTTAAGTGCCATTGAGTCAGTTCTGACTCATAACAGCCCTGAATAGGGTTTCTGAGGAGCAGTCTAACATGTACTAGGCTAATATTATCCAGCAAAAGTTTATACTATTTCTCAATTTTCTGTTTTCACTTAGATGTTCAAAAGGTAAAGGTTCTGATACTGAGAAGGCATTAAGGATCAGAGCTGAAAATGAAGGTGTAAGTAGGAACTGTTACTAAATTGCTCTTCTATACTCTTTATCTGACTTATGATAAACTTTTGTGCCCATGAAAAAAAAAAAGATAATAATATATATTACTTTGATTTCAAATTCCATTGTTTTCTTTGAAAAGCATCAGACACTGAAGAACTAAAACCTTCTGCCTCCATGTGGGAGCTTCCTGGTTTATAAATTAAAGTCCAAGAGACCAAGGTTGCCCCCATCACAACACTTACCTCTGGTGCATGTCTTCTTTTAGAGAGGCTTTTTGAAAAAACCATGGGTCTCTAGTGAAGAAGGAAAGATATGATGCGTTCAGGACTTTGTTTTCAGATTTAAAAGAAAATATTGTCAATCTTATGTTTAATTGATTTTACATATTCTGTATAAATATTGGAATAAGAAGTGTTCCAGTGATTTTCATAGCAATGCCAAAATTTTTTTATTGGCCATGTGTTTTGCTAAACATACTCAAAGAAATATTGCTAAATTAAATTCAGAGTTTAGGTTATTGAACATTTTAGTTACATAGAAATAACAAAGTTGAGGGGGATTATTCTGTGTTGAGTATCACTTACATCAAATTTGTCTCTTTCCAGTTGACCTCTTTGTAAGGATTGATTATAAGGCTAAGTCCAGGCTTTGTTTTCACTGATGTCTCCACTGCCAGTGGTTAAAGAACATGTATTATCTGTGGAGCAGAAGTTGAGAGTGGACAGAGTAGAGGTGTTTGGAGCCTGGCTCAGGAGCCTACATCCTGTTTCTATAATTGCTGAACCCAGACTTTGCTGTGTGGGACTAGGGAGAGAGCCAGCAGCTGCTGGTTTCCTAGGACCACTGTACTGGGCAGTACGTGGGAATAAAGAGGACTGGCAAGGTGCTAGGAGACTAGTGTGGTTCAAGTGCAAAACTATTTCTAAAGAAATTCCCTAATCTCAAAGTAGTTTGTATACTAAATGACCTAAATTTAATATTAAGATTATTTAGTAGTATAATGATAGGGAAAGGTCTTGTCAGGTTTATGGCATGCTGGCAGAATTCTGTTTTTTTTAACCTGAATATTCATTTCACAGAAGTTAATTAAGTGGATTATTAACATTTTGTGCATTTTCTATTATATATCATTTTTTGTTTAATGAAATAGAACAAGTTTATTGAGTTAAAGCATTATCAGTGGTTTATTCTGAGTGATGGGATTGAGGATCTTATTTTTTGCTAATTAAATGTTCTCAAAATGCCTTTTAATCATATTACTTTTAATTGGGATGGGAGAGCTGAAAATAAGTTTCTTACTACTAACAGAGAAAGTGATGAGGGTACTTTCTCTAGGTTTGTAATTTCGATGTCCCGTAAGCCCTGTGTCTTGAAGCTCCTTTTAATTCCCTCATTTGAGAAATGTATTAATGCGTATTCCTTTCAAGATAATGGCACTGTTTTTTTGTTTTTCTTGATAATGGTACTGTTTTATATTTCATTTGTAATTTACGTTTATGTACATGAGTATCAAACATGTTGATAGAATATGGAAACTTTTTTGTACAGAGAAGGGGACATCAGCTGGAGCCTGACCTATCTGAAGAAGTGTTGGCCCGACTCCGCCTGGGCAGTGGGAGCAATAATGGTTTATTCAGGAGGAAAATGTCAGTACTTGAGACAAAAGAAAAGAATTACTCAGGCAAAGAGAGAGAGAGAAGGACAGAAGATCTCCTTGAACTTACAGAGGTATTTGTCCCTTGTGTTGATCAGAGTATGTTTTAAAATAACCTCTGTTATTCTAGACTTGAATAAATGTTTTATTTTAGAGGTTTTTCCAGGCTATAGGTGAATGTATGGGAAAAAATAGGTTCAAAATCTGTTTAATCACTTTGGCCATACTGATTATTCGTGATCCATATGAAGTAGGCCTAAGGAATTGGATTACTGTTCTGCAAATGTGAGTAGACATAATTGTCATGTATTTTGGAATATGATGGGTTCTTCATAGTTTTTTTTCCTTGATCTTCAAATAGGTTGAATTGCATATATGGGTTTGGAATTACCATTGCAGTTTTTCTATGTGGTTACAATTTAATGTCCTTTTCATTGATTATTGCTTTTGAAGATAGTAAAAACTTACAGAAAAGAAGAAACTGAAGGTAGTTAAAAATTCTCATTTTAAATGTGTAATCCACACCTTGGCTTCTTGTCTTAGTAGGTGGTGGTGGTGGTTATGTGCTTTCGAGTCAGTTCTGACTCATAGCAACCCTGTATAAGGTTTCTGAGGAGTGACTGGTGAGGTTGAACC